AAATAGAATTAGTAATACAAAAAAAAAGAAAACCCATACGTGTTAGCAATTTGAGCGTTACACAAACAATTTCGGAACCAATTGCCCTTCAACATTTCTTGTTCTTTCTTTTATTAAGCATAACTGATATGTTCATTGCGAGAGCGTATTATGGTTCATCCGAAATATAGCTTGCTTACCTTCCTAAGGGAGAATTCGGCGATGGTACAGCTCTCATTGAGAACAAGACTTACTTGTTATCTTGTCACGCTGTTGACAATAAAAGGTTTCGGCTATAGTAAGTTGACCTTAATGATTTCTGATATTACAGCAGGCACACATAACTGAGCTGACCCTGAATAATAGTATAGACTATTTAGAGTTGCTCCTATTTAATATACTCTTGTTACACACTCGATAGATACAAAGTTTGTGGATCAGACTTTTCACGAATAAAAGTTCTTGGTAAATATGCCCATATACGAATTGATACTCTACATTTTTCTTGTTTTAATGTCAAACTTTGAGGTATCAAAGCAAAATAAAGGACAAACTAATTGATCTGCTATTAGGGCTATGGGCAATACGCATTAGCTGATAGCTGAACTTGTGCTGATACTCAATGCATGTTAAGCATATGTCGACTTAGCCCCAAGCCATAAAAGTAGTGAAAGCGAAAAAGTTTCACATTTGGCTGGCCCTACGCTCATAACTTTAACGAAAGAAATCAAAACGTGCCCAGGGGTATGACAACAAAAAACCCTTGGAGGCGACAAGAAAACTTTTCCTTTCATTCTGCATTTTTCGAAAAACTTTCACTTGGACTTCTCGCAGTGTTTCGACTGTGGTGCTTTAATGGGCATTCCCGAGGAGTGTATCGGAATATTTCGAGCAGCTGACAAATTTTTTATTAAGGGGTATTATTTTAAAGCGTTTCTTCTGCTCCTGTAGGCCATAAATTAAAGCACATTATATTGCTTTTGACCACAGACCAAGGCTTTGGTCGAATTCGAACTTTTTTAAGCAACTGCTTTTGTTGCCTTTAGCTATATATCATACAGCTCAATGTATGTTTTGTAGGTGGCATGGTTCGGGCCACACCCATTGTTGAGGACCTACACGTGGCGCTGTTGTTGTTGTTCTTCTCCCTGTGTAACTTAAGTGCATAAGTAAATGTGCCTTTGTCTAGCGGAAATTAATTGCCTCTGTGTTCGGGCATCTGCGGTGCTTACAATTACAAGTCTCGTGCGAAACGTCCTTGCTTGTCCTGCCGCCTGTGACGGAAGCGTTTGCCCAAATAAATTCCACACATGGCTGTGCTTCTGTGTGACCAACAAAAGCTGCTGTCGAAAAACTTAAAAATTCAGCTGCTACAACAATGTATATTCGTCTTTATGATACCCCAAAAAAAGGATTTATTGGTGCACAAGTTATCAAGAATAAATTATAAGAACGTGTTTCCGTCTTTAGCCGATTTTCAATATTTTAAAGATAATATTTATTAATTTAATCCCCTTTAGAGTTTATGAAAATATTTAAAACTAAACATGCAAAGCGTTTGATAAAAAGTGCATTGAAAATTCAATGTGTATCTCTCGCATGCAGTGTTTGTCTTTTTTTGAAACGTTCAAATTCACCTGCACCTGTTTTCCCCGTATGCTGAAGTTTTTCTGCATATTTTTAGATTTTTTTTACCCATTTTTCGAGGATTTAAAACTTTTTACCCAGCAAAAATGCTGGCAAACGTAGTTTAAATATTTGTTGTATTTTTTTTTAGATTATTTTACCCTGTACCCATACCACGAGTAAAAACGGGTATACATATATGGTGCACATACGCAGATGTATTTAGAAACAAAAGTATATATTCTCGATTATATTTGATGAAAATCTCTCTCTTATGTCATTGGATATATGAGTTAAGGATTAATATTTTAATTATAAAGTAAAAGCCCCAAAGCAATAATATTCTTAGAAAATTAATTTACGATCTGATCGAGTACTGTCTGTATAAATATCAGGGGAAGTTACTCCTTTCATACTGATACACATTTATGTACTTGTTAGCTAAAGTACGATTGTAATCGGTCCAATTTCAGGGTATATATTTGTTGAGCGTTCTTGTCTAAGCTATTCCTAGTTGTTGATATTTATGCTTGCCTGGCGGTCTGCTGCCGTAAATAAAAATTGCATTGTTTTGATTGGGAAATCGAGATTTTTCGCAGTGCGTTTTAAATTCATTTAAATTTCAAATTCAGCTCAACAATTAAAACTGCGTGCCAAAAGCTGTTACACTTTTATGGGTTGCCACTCGAAAAATGCTGACAGCAGAGCACAGACTGCAGTCGCTTGGCTGCGTTTTTCGAATCGCAGAAAGGACTAATAATTTCCATGACACACACGCAAACATATATGTGTGTGTGCGTGTGGATGTTTTTGCGTGAGTGTGTTTGTGCATGCCAGCCAATGGCGCGTAGATGCCATCAACATGTCATACTTGCAGCGCCGGCCAACATTCCTTCTGTGAGCTGCACTTACGAACAGCCGACAGTAAGCAGACAAAAAATAAAAAATAAAGACAAGCTGGATCCCAATCGTACACTGAGAGACACTGAAATGAATATCCTACAAAAGAATTTGAAACCTGTTCTTTGAAATCGACAATAATAAACTAATAAATATGTATAATTGCAATATAAAAGGGAGTTTTAAATCTCCGTTCCAATAATAAAAACATTACATATTTTTACGGATTTGCAGATATCACAAATTGTAAGTCTCAGTCTACTTAAATTATATTTTTCATTCTTATAAATTTGATATATGTATATATGTGTGTAAATTTTAAAAACATTTCAATATCAATTTTTGGAAGCCACTGAAATGTACAACAGTTTGGTGTCAGTGTAGCTCACTTGGGTTAGTTGGGCGCAGTCTAACATTCCTAGTAGACGTCTTGACAAAGCGCCAAAAAGCATGGCAGTGCCAAGAGTCATAGAAAATATGAAAAGCGGCTAGTTATATCTCAAACTGGTGCATGGGATCACCACTTAATTCCAGTGAAGAGAAGTCAAAATATGCGACAAATAAATATATATATATATCCTATATCCTAATATCTCTAACATATCTATATATATATATACATATATATATATATATATGAATTACAAATTGTTAGAGATATACTTGGTTAAATATACTATATGTTTGAAAATATAAAAAATAAAAAAAAATTAAATAAAAAATTAATATTTGTATGACTCTCCATGAAATGCATTTAACTTTAAAATAATTTATGGATTTCATAAACATGAACGCATACAAACGGGCGGCAAAGGGTTTTCCACATAGAACACAATGAATAGGAAACGGAATGGCAAATTACAGCAAATTGGTTTCTGTTTCTGTGTGTAAGTGTGTGTGTACGTGTGTGTTTGTGTGTGGAGCAACAAATAAAATTGTAGCAGAAAAAAAGAAAAGCGTAGAAACGTTGGCGGTTATATTTTCCCTTACCTTTTCACCTAATGCAATCAAGTTAAATGCCATTAAATTTGATGGCTCTTTGTGTGCAAAGGGGTACAGAGTACGCAGAATGTATAAAATGTAGCTGAATGTTACAATTGCCCTACGGCTGTTTTTTTCTTTCTTTTTTTTAATAGCCGGACAATCGTAAAAATGCTGTTAAAATATAAAATTTGCATTAGCATTTTTATGGTTTTATCTGTTGTGCGTAGAAATTAATTTTCGAATATTACGCATGCGGAAATTCAATTGCATGCGAGCAGTGACAAGTTCCATACGAGTTTGGAATTGTTGCAGAAATAACAACAGCCAATTATATTTGGGAGAAGTTTCTGCCGACATGCCAGTTGAAGGAGTTGGGGCAACAGTTTGTGGCAGAAGGAACTTTGCAGTTAAGGTAAGCCACATATCGTAAGAGAGGCACAGGAAAATTAAAAGTAAAACTGCCAATAGAGTTCCAGGGCAAACATGGCAAACTTTTAATTGCGCAGAACGAAAAAGAGAGGGAGACAAACAGAGAGAGAGAGTGAGAGAGAGAGAAAGCGAGAGAGAGAGAGAGAGAGAGAGAGAGAGGGAGAGACGTTGCAGATACAAGGCGAAGTCAGATGATGTGACAAAGACGGGTCAAAATTTTGGCCAAACAAAACTTAATTGCAATATGCAAAGCACCAGTGCCGCAGTGAATCCCTCCTGGCACCTAGACGGCAGGCTCAGGCTCAGGCTCAGGCTGCGGCTCTGACTGTGGCTGTGGCCTCCTCGTGCACTTTGGATAAATGACAATGTTTGACAAGGCAAACAATATACGCATTCCCACTCATGACTGCTGGCCATGCGAATGACACTGACACAGTTCAGGCAAGAGCTGCGGCATGCCGGACGTAGCGGGCGTGGTGGGGCGTGGCTGATGTCAAGCGAGTCATTGCACATGCAACACCCACAATATTGTCCTCTTTACTATTTTGTAGGTTGTAGCAGCTACTGATCCCCCTCCCCGCCGGTTGCTGTGTGTCTGCTTGTTTGCTCCCGCACTGAACCTGATCTCATTTAACGCTGTCGTTTTGTTTGCTCAACTTGCAACAGCAGCCGAGCCAACGTTTTTTGTTATGAAATACGAAAAGTACGAAAACTCCGAGACGAAGCGCTGCATATTGATTGCCCCAAGCCAGCACCCATCCGCCCCGCTTAACCACGTGGCACACAATTTGCCACCGCTTGAACGTGGCCTAATTTCAGTTGTTCTTGTTGATGTCCTCCTCCTCTGATTGTCTTCCTGGCAAGGATCCGCTTATAACTAGCTGACTTTGACAGGTTGACAAGTTTTTTTTTTTCGTTTTCCCATGCAACTTTCAGTTCATATGTATGGCAGAGGGACTGGCTCTGCCAGTGGGTATTTGTAAAGTTATGAAGTGATGTCAGAACTTCCTTAGAGCTCATATTTCTCTGCAGTGTGCTCATACAGTAGTTGACAGACCTCCGAGGAAAATATTGCCAGAAAATGTGTTTTAATTATTTATTTTAAAGCAGCTTTTTGTTTCCATTTATCCATATGGATCTACTTTACCGTTTATTCTACACTCTGTTAGCTAGTTGTTGGTGTTTAATAAGCTATAACGATGTATTTCACGCCGTATTAATTTTATTTTAGTTGGAAAAGAGCAACATTAGTGCCATAACAACGCAGGCGGCACCAACCCAAGGCGATTCGCGCTCTCCGATCCGCGCCAACTTCCACAATGTAAGCCGTAAGCCGGACTTATTCCGGTCCAATATCCTGGGGCAGAGTGGTCGCACATAAGCGCACGTGCAGATCAACAATAGGATTACCGAAAGTAAACTTTGAAAGTTGAATAATGCACTCATGTTCTTGTGAATTTGGTTTTTATTCTTCTGTTTTGAGAGAACTTGTACTCGGCAGAAGCAGCAAATAAATTAAACTAAGGTAAATATGTTCAATGTTGAAAAATTAGTTTTAATATGAGGAACAGTTGATAGCCTACTACTCACTTATAATGTTATTTAACAATACTATGTTATACCACAAGACTTGCTTTTTGCTGCGGTAAGGTTGAAACCTTGATTGCTTGGTTAAATTACTTAATAGTATTTATAATCCAAGGTTAGTAACTGAATGATAAAATAAAAAATATGTGATTTACTTTGCTTGCTTCAGTAGAGAAATATCAAAATATCTATATATAAAACTCTTTGTGCTGACTGACTGACCGACTGATTGACTGACTGACTGATTGTTGATCAACGCACACTGCAGTTACCTTGGGTGATGAAGGTGCACGTTAAGACGGGGTTTCGGGAAATTTCATCCGTATGTGCGGAAAACGGCAAAAAACGTTTGTATGAAACTTTTTTGTGTACCATCTGATCGGCCTTAAACTCATTTTCAAAGATCATTGTTCAAATTCATTCATGGTGAAAATGCATGTGAAATTACATACATACAAACACATACATGCATACATACAAACACATACATATTTACATACATACATACATATATACATACATACATACATACATACATACATACATAAATACATACATACATACATACATACATACATACATACATACATACATACTTACATACATACATACATACATACATACATACATACGTACATACATACATATATACATACATACATACATACATACATACATACATACATACATACATATATACACATATATACATATATACATATATACATACATACATACCTACATACCTACATACCTACATACCTACATACCTACATACCTACATACCTACATACCTACAGACATACACCTCCGGCTCCGCCCCTTGGTGCTCCTCCTCCTGGCTCCTCAGCTTCTAGCGTTGAATCCGCCTTCGCCTAATTCATAAGTGAAGCCTGCAAGCCTTACTTACATTTTTGAGAATCGAGGAGAAGGGCAGCTTTAATAAATACGTTTTCTTATTTAAATGTGCCGCGTAACAAGACAAATTGGTCTGGTATTGGTATAGAATACAATTTACATGCATACATACATACATATATACGCACATACATACGTACATACACGCACGCCCATACACACACACATTCACACATATACATACATACATAATGACATACACATGCATACATTCACTAATTCATTCATGCATGCATATAAGTATGTACACATGCATGCATTTCTACATATATACATACATATATAAAAATTCAATTTGGCATCTAAATTTGGCAACATTATTTTTAGTCAAAATTCATGTTAAAATGGTACCCACAAATATTCTACTTATATAGACATAGGTCAAAATTTCCCAACCCCATAACTTGGACTAATCTCAACAGAATTGCACGAGGCTTGGCTCTTTGTTCATAGTTCGGCCTCTTGATCAATGTGCCATCTAAAGCTGGCAACATTATTCTTGTTATATAAAAATTTCTTTTAAGCCTAACAGTTACAGACACTTGCATTGTATTCTTTTGAATTTTTTTTAAATGGATTTTAATGGATTTTTTACTTCAATTTAAGCATATTATTTAATTAAACCTTTTACTAACCCTGAGGAAGGGAAGAGAAAAAGTACCCAGAATCAGCTCAATGAAAAATTCCCTTTGATGCGCCTCAAAGCGAAAAACTTTTTCAATTAAACATTTTCTTCTTAAAAACACAGACACGCAACGAGCACAGAAGGCCCTTATCAAAAAAATAACGTCGAAGTCAGAAAAAATCGAACAAAATATTAAAACATAAATTTTTTTCGCTTCTGAATCGAACTTTTGCGGTGAAGTGCACTAGATTTATGCAGCCCCCAAAAAAATTGATTGGTAGATGTGTGCTCAATGGAGGACGCAACAACAAATAAATGTGTATTTTTTTTTGTTTTTCTTACTGTTGTTTATATTTTTATTTGTAATTTTCTTTGCAGCTGAAAAGGCAGCAACTGCGAAATTAAAACGCGAGCTAAAGAGTCGCCCAACTGGCTGGCCAATTGTTTATGGCTTATTGTTGCTTGTTCTTGCGGAACTTTCTGTGGTGCTCGGGTGCCAAAGCGACAAGTGCCAGACGAGCCCAAGTTGTCGAGCACCAAATAAGTTGTCGAATTCGCAAACATTTTGAATATTTTATGCAAACTTTATTAGCAATAAAATCAAGTTAGCTGCCAAACAATTGTAATGAGCTGGCAAAAGGGCAATGGACATGCGGAAAAGTCTGCATTTCCTGGGAAATGCCAACTACAACAAACTTTTCCATAAGCAATGGCAGCAAAATGAATTTTTTAAAATCCTCTACAAATAAACTTCATATGTTCTTCATCGTGTCTTATATATATGTATCACAGAATCAATCGCTTACATTCACAGAAGTTTACACTGTCAAATTGGCGCAGGTCTTATTTACATTAAAGAGTATATTGTGTTATTGTTAAGACGGAGATGTCAGTCTGTTAGAAGTGTTCAATTAATAAAGAAAATTAAGACCCTCGAGAAAGAATACTTACTTATTTTAAATGTTAATATACATAAAACAGTTGCACATATAAAACGTGGAAATATTAAGATGGGTTAGGTTCACCTTTTTATTTGGTATTTTCTTTAACTTTTAGTTTTCACTTTATTAAGTTGTTACTTTCTATACTACACAAATAAGAGAAAATAAATAATATTCATGAAAATCTAGAATGTAAGTATATCTTTGGTACTTCCCGCAACAGAAAGTCGGACCTTTGCAAAGTTTTAAGACGAAAGGCCTAAGACATAGAGATTATTTTGCATACAAATAGACAGAAGGACAGACGGACATGGCTAGATATATCTATATATATATATACATATATATATATATACTTTATGTCGGAGATACCACTTTCTATGCGCTAAACATTTCCTGACAATATCATAATACCCTCTACAAGGGTTTAAAAGGGAAAACAAATTTAAATGTTAATTAGTAAACCCGTTTTAAATGCTGTTAATTATATTTTATATCAAGACATAAGAAACGATATCGTAAACATAAAATAATAAACTTGAAAATAGCACGTTGCAAATAAAACTACTGATTTAGTATTTAATATTTTGATGAATATTCCCTGAAACTATTTTTTGCTCAAATTGTATCCAACACAACTGAGGCAAGGTACTATTTTGAGCACTCATAAACTTTGAATATACCGTGATATGAAAATGAAACATTTTCCACTTTTCTCACGCACCTCTTGCCTCTGTCGAGAACATTTCACATCTGACGCCGCTTATTACAATTTTGCACACAAAGCCAAACGAGTGAGCTACCAGCTCAGTAGTAAAAGTGAAATTAATAACCAAACCAAATAAAAAAAAAAAAAGGAAAAAAGATTTTCAAGTATACGCACTGTGTGACGCACCCCCCGACGCTGACTCTCATCAACCATTTGACATTTTCAAATGTTATGCATTTTTTCGCACATTTACTTAACAAACGCGCTGAGCACGAGGGCCATAAAAATGCAATGAGAAATTGTGCGGCAAGAGAAACAGAAAGAAAAAGATCAAGAGGAGGATGAGAACATTGGGGATGTGCTGCTTTGACTATGGGCTGTCAGCTGACAACAAACAGGTTCCCCACATTCAACACACAGACAGGCCGTTGTGTGGCACAAACTATAAAGACGGCAACTTCAGCTACTTGTCACCGCGACAGAACGCCCCAAACGCTGCCACGCCCAGCCCTATAAAGCGCTCTGCTGCGAGTTATTTACCGTGTTTGGTCTGTTTGTGTGTTTATCTTACAACACGTAGCCGAAAGCCAAGTTGGTGCCTCATTTGCCTCCTGTTGTTAATTAAGTTGGCGTCGCAGGAGGCTACGTGCCAGACGCTAAATTCTATTGGGGCTAAACAGACCAACAGCCCAACAGGCCAACAGCTCCACAACTCCACAGCTGGCTATCGGAAGCTGTCACTTTTATATTAAATTTCTAGGCAACACATTTCGCTTTTATTTTGACATTAATATTAATATTCAATTAGCCAGGCCCACACGCAGCCTTGGGCCGTCCAATTAATGTTAATTATGCTAAGTAGAAGAGGCCACTTGGAAGTTTTTCTTATTTTCTGCACAAATTGCTGTCAAGTTTTTATTATATTTTTTTAATTTTAAATTTTTGTCAGTCTCATAAATCGCGACACTTGACCCTGTCCCCGAAAGTATAAATTTGATTTGTCTTCTTTATTCTCATTTCTCGTGCTCCATTATATCGTTGTTCCACTGTAATACCAATGGCATGTTAATTGCCTTTAAATTGCAAAATTCGTAAGCGTTAAAACTCAAATTAACAAAGCTATTGAACAATTTTTTTGATCTGCTCGCCTGCCAGTTCTGTTTATTATGCTAATTTAGTTTGCTATTTCGGGGTCTTGGTTTTTCGCTCGGCTTTGGGCTTTACGGCAATTAACTGTGTATCCGTTGGGGTCGGATTGGTGTGGGAACTGTGTAACTTTTACATATTACCATAAATACATCTGTGCTGGCATATAACAGACCAGAGTTAAGGTAAGTGTGAAAAACCATTAGAAAATCCGCAAGCATCATTAAGCTATTCCAAAAAATTTGTGCATTATTTAAATTATTATGAATCGAAGATTAATCTCCTTTAATATTGATTCTACCTTCGAGTCATTTTTATATTATATTATATTTTTATATAGAGGGTTTCTTTAACTTTTTCGATATAGCCATGTACGTCTGTCCGGCCGTCCGACCGTCCATCTGTCTGTTTCTTTGCAAACTTTAAATAAATATTTGCTGCTCAAATTAATGTGATGAATGGATGTGAGGGTGGAATTCAGAACTCTGGTTGTTACTAAATTTCACATAGCTGAATGTGATATGGTTTAGAATCTTTGTCAGTTGGTTTGGTTTTTGTTCTCCTTACGCCTTTTAATAGCTACTTAAACATGATGTGAAAAGGTTTTATTAGTTTTATGA